GGCTGAAGAAAGATGCTAGCCCACTCTGCCACATTTTCTGTTATTGTTAAGTGCAATTGAGTCAGTTCTGACTCATAGTGACCCTGTATAGGGTTTCCGAGGAGCAGCGGGTGGGTTTGAGCTGCTGATCTTCTGGTTTGTAATCCAGTGTTGATCCTACAGTGCCACACCAGTGTTAATTTTGGACATGTCACCAGGAAGGACCAATCACCAGAACATGACATCATGGTTGGTAAAGTAGCTGTTGTTAGGTGTCGTTGAATTGGCTGTGACTCATAGCAACCCTACAAACAACTGAACATAACACTGCCCAGTCCTGCGCCATCCTCACTCTTATGGGTCAAGTTTGAGTCCATTGGTGCTGCCACTGTGTCAGTCCATCTCATTGGTGTCTTCCTCTTATTTTCCTGACCCTCTACTTTGCCAAGCATGATGTCATTTTCTAGGGACTGGTCCTTCCTGATGTCATGTCCAAAATCTCATCATTCTGGTAAAGTAGAGAGTCATCAAAAATGAGGTGGATTGGCCCAAAAGCCACAACAATGGGCTCAAACATACCAAACATTATGAAGATGATACAGGATGGGGCAATGGCTGGCTTTGTTATACCTCAGGTCATGATGAGTCACAGCTGGCTCAAAGGCAACAAACACCAATCTTTCCCTCACTGGGCTCTTCGAATGCAATTCCATATTTGCTTGTGTGGTTATTAGATGAAGGCCTGCTTCCCAAATAAGCTCCAAGCTGGAGTCAGGATCCTTTTGCATGCTGACCTGGCTCACCGTTGACTCTGCCTGACACTGAAAAGTGTTCAGTGAGACATACTATGCTTGAATGTCCCAGAGAAAGAATGAACATCTTAAATGTGCTCTGTGTCTACCCCTCAGACGGTCAGAAGGCTGACAGTTCAGTTCATAAGCTGAATAAGCAGATTCCATTCATTTGCTTTAAAGATCCCTGGTGGGATTGTAAGATCAGCATTGGATTGCAAACTGCAAGGTTGGCGGTTTAAACCCACCAGTCGCTCTGAGACAGAAAGATGAGACTTTCTGTTCCTGTAAAGATTTACAGCCTTAGAAACCCTATACAATATCACAATGAGGCAGAATTGACACAATGGCAGTGAGATTAATTTACTTTATAAAGACAAGTTATGATTGATCAAAGATGGTTCCACTTTCCAAACAAGCCTTTTAAGCAATCACATATGGTGGCAGCAGATGAATGGATAATGCACACATGGGATACACAGACGATGGAAGATGACCTAATCACAAAATGACAAATAGGGTATGTCCCCATCTCCATGAAATATCTAGAAGAGTCCTTGTATCTTAGTGGTTGGTTACCAGAAGTGGGGGGAAGGAAGAAAAAAGGGGGACCCACTGCTTAAAGGCCGGGACTCTGACTTTCTGTTAGGGGTGATGGAAAAATTTGGAAATGGATCATGGTGACAGCTGGAGACTACGATGGATACAAGTAATACCACTGGGAGGTACACGTGAAGGGTGTGGAAATGCCAAATACTTTGTTACATATATACTTATCTCAATTTCAAGGAGTTTTAGAATAAAGAACAAAATCTAAAACATATATAGGGAATAGGAAATTATTTGAGAGGCTGTTACAGAGCTCTGGGCACATAGTGGGTTAAGCATTGGGAGGCTAAGAAGTCAACAGTTGGAGCCCATCAGCCACCGCAAAGAAGAAAGATGAGGCAGTTTGCTCCTATTAAGATTTACAACCTCAAAACACCCACGAGGGCAGTTCAACTCTGCCTTATAGATTTATTATGAATTGGAATCAACTCAAGGGCCGTGGGTTTTGTTTTTTTGTTTATTTGGGTTTTTTGTTTTTTTTTTTGATAGCTGCAACTTCCAAATGAAGATCAATAAGTAAAGGAGATGGGGCAGCCCATATGTTGTCCAGGTGAAGGTGATAAGGGGCCAATGGGAATATGGAGTTCAACTCACACCAGGGCCTCTAGACAATCTCCTTGCTAACAAAGGTATCTATGCACTGCCTCACCAAGCAGAGCTGACTCTGCTACAGGAAGATGAACGTAAATAAGGTCTGAGTGACACTCTCAGGTAGATGTGTCTCCATGGATACTCAACATGCATGGCAATATTTTGTTCTTACTTCACTTCCAAACATTTCAACAAACCCAAAACATTAGCATGTTGAACTACATCCTTTACTCATCAGAGTGTGGGCACATCTCTGTGTCATTTATAGGACTGAGGACAGATGTTTGGAGAGAGGTTGTTTTTGTTAGGTGCCTTCAAGTCAGTTCGGACTCACAACAACCCTACACATGACTGAATGAAGTGCCACCCAGTCCTGCGCCATTGTAGCCTTCACTGTCTAGCTCATCGTACATCTTCCTCTTTTTTGCTGACCTTCTACTTTGCCCAGCATGATGTCCTTCTCCAGGGACTGGTTCTTCCTTAAGACATGTCCAAAGTTGTTGTTAAGTACCATGGAGTCGGATCTGACTCATAGCGACCCTATGCAGCGTTTCTGAGGCTGCAAATCTTTACAGGAGCAGAAAACCTCTTATTTCTCCCATGGAAGAGCTGGTAATTTCGAACCGCCAACCTTCAGGTTAGCAGCCCAATTCGTAACCACTACGCTACCAGTCTCACCACCCTTGCTTCTAAGAGAAGGAAATACTTCTACAACCATTTTTTGATGCACAAAATCCTCCCTAGCGCTAAGTTTCAAGGCCTCTTGTGGTCCTCTCAAACATTCCCATATGAGGATGTAATGTGACAAACAGCCCTGAAGTGTTTGGCCAGAACATGGGATAGAATATAGGGTGGCTGTAAGCTGCCTTAACAATCTCTGGGGCCCCAGGACCTGTTCGCTAAGCCTGTTTCTTCACACGGATACAGAATTGCCTGGGATAAGACATTTCCTGAAGCCAGATCACAGCTGGGAAATCTCTGGATTGCCACTGACCCTAGCATTTAGCTGGCACATGGTGATGTGAAATTTAAAACAAGAATTATTGGTTTTATTCCCCACCGTTCATATTTACCGGTCCCTGTAGAGTGCTCACAGAGAACACACTCAGCTACTAACCAAAATGTTGGACATTCAAGCCCACCAGAGGCACCCCATAAGAAAGACCTGGTGATCAACTTTAAGAAAACCAGTCACTAGAACACAGGTATACTCTGACACATACTGGCTCACTGTGAGGTAGGGTAGACTATATGGTAACTGAAGCTTCATGTTCATTGTTGTTGTTGTTATGTGCTGTAGAGTCGATTCCAACTCAGCGACCCTGTACAGGGTTTCCAAGGCTGTCAATCTTTACGGGAGCAGAAAGCCTCATCTTACTCCCGCAGAACAGCTGGTAGTTCTGAACTGCTGACCGTGCGGTTCACAGCCCGATTCGTAACCACTACGCTATCAGAGCTCCTTTCATGTTCATAAGCAGTTGGAAATGGTTCACTGGCTTGTTCTACGATGACCAGCAGGTCAGGGGACCTCAGAGAAGGTTCAGGGAATGGTCCTGGAAGCCATTAGAAATGTGTTGTTGTTGTTGTTGTTGTTAGCTGTCATCAAGTCAGCCCCAACTCATGGCAGCCCCTCGGGTCATGGAGTACAACTGTTCCTAAGGGCTAATGGCCTACCATATTTACCACAATAGTTTGCCAGTTTGTTCTTCCATGAAGGTTGGATTCAAATGGCCCATTTCTAGGTTAGCTGCTGCTGCTTTTGTTGTTAAGATCTGTATAGGGCTTCTGAGGAGTGGCTAGTGGATTTGAACCACCGACCTTGTGGTTAGAAGCTCAGTGCTTACCCTACAATGCTGGACAGACAATTGCAAGACACTTGTGCCCACAAGGGATCAACAGATGTAATTCCTGAAATATTGAAAATCTAAACACAGAGGGATTTTTTTTTTTTTTTTTTGACAATCGATAAAAAATCCAAAATGCGTTACATCATTTGAAATGAACAAGAGAGTCGAATGCATCTTTGACTTGGTAACATTTATTCAATATTCTTTGAAATTAGCAGGGAGTGGAAGAAATACATTGCCAGTCAAATACAGCCACAAAAATGTCCTGGCCATAAAGAAAGCACTATGAGAAATACACACTACTGAAGTCGCAAGACCTCTACTAAACTTACTACCTCTTAACCACAAAACCTCAAACACAAACTGTAACTTACTCATATAAAAATCTCGACATTTTAAAGAAAAAGAGATTCGACTTGCTCTTAACTTGCCTCCATTACAGGTCATTTTGTGGTGTGTAGTGTTTTTGTTTTTTGTTTTTTTCATTTGTTTTGTTTTATTTCAAGACCTAGTTTGTTGACTATTACAAAAAAATGAAAACAAATAAACAAAAACAACCAAAAAACTCAAAACCTCAAAAGAATGTTTCCCAAGGTTCAACACAACAGCACGGAAACGAATTACTTACCCATGCACAGAATAAGGCAAAGGTTAATTTCAGTCAGGTTAGGAATAGTAACTTTAACTAGCTTTATTTTTTTTCAAAAACAAAAGAATATTTCAGAATTCTTTGTAAGTAACAGTTATACTGTATTATGCATCAGACTCTACAAGTTTTTCCTAACTCTACTCAGAAAGCCAGCACTCACGTTAGCTAGAAACTTTTCCTTGATTAGACTTACTGTGTAGCAAGTCCAGGAACAGATCTGGATTTTATGATAGTGTCTACCATGGAAAAAGCACACACAACTAGGAACATACGGTTTAGCAAGCTGAAAATCCATTAAAACAAAGTCTACGGATTTCACAAATTCCGTTGTTAAAATATTTTCCCCCAAACTAAAAGCTGCAGAAAATTAGTTCTTAAATATTCTACTGAAAACTCTTGAGCAGCTAAACTTTGAAATTTCTTACACTGTTTATTTCCTTAAAAATATTTAAATGAGTGAAGTATCCCATCTTTTTGAAAAATAAACCCCACCCCACCTCGAAAAAAAAGAAAAGAAAGAAAGAAAGAAAAAGATTACAAATCTTTTGTTTTAATCAATGTGACCAAGGGTTTGTCATCAGGACTGTAATCTTCATAGGCAATGGGGGTCACATCGTACATCGCTGGCCGGGATTTCTTTCCGAACCTGAAATCACACCAAGAACAAAGACTGGAGTTAGAAAAACACAGAGCCTCGGGTCTTAGCTTTAAAGGCCAGTGGTAAAAATGACTTATATTCAAGAATCAAATGGAACTATAAAAATATTCCAAGAATAGATTCTCCAGCATGTACCAAAATTTAACACTCTCTGAGACTCAACACAAAAAGCGTGTAAACATTAGTCTTTCGTGCAGGAGGAAATAAAAATGGATTTCAGCAAGCACAAAGCTCAAATTAATGTTAAAGCTTCTAAGGGAAATGTTGGCCAAGCATTCAGGCGTGACAATTTTGCACTTGGTTTTAAGAAAGCGTGTATTGATTTGTCTTGTTCTTACTGAGACCCATAACTACGGAAGGTAAGATGATGTTACATCCACAGCGGTGCCTAGAATACAGACAGGCTGCCAGGGAGACCTTCACTGGCCTTGGAGAAACACTGGGCTCCAGACACATTCTCAGGAGAATTGTGCAGGCTGGAAGGCCAGCTGAAGTCCCCACAGAAGGACAAGGACAGGGGGAGGAAAGGGTTCAAATAAAGAGGGGCTTGCCCACAATGGGGCAGCACCCACCCTGAATCCCACCTATCCACCACTACCTCCTCCTCCACACTCTGACACATACACACAAGGCATTGTTGTTCTCTGCCCACAAAGTCTTTGTCCCAACAGATTTGTATATATCAAAATTCCCTGGACATCAGGGGAGATGGATGCCCAGAATCCTGGAGAGCTGAAATGCAGTCCCAGGGCTTCCTGCCAAGCCAGCCTTAGACCATGATTATTCAAATAGGCAAATGCAACTTCTGGGTGGTCTCTTCAGAGGCCAGATCTCACCTTCTTTAGAAGTGCAGTGTGATTTAAACAATCTTCCCCACCACCCACCACCACCCACCACCACCCACCACCACCCCTTCTCCAGGTTATAGTTTACTGATTTGGGGTTGTTTTTTTTAACTGTTTCAAGTCCACCAGGGTTCAATAAAAAAGAAGTTGAAGAAGCTTCCATCTTAAAGAGTTCCTGCTGTGGCTCTGTAGAGTCAGCAGTTCAAACCCACTAGCAACTCCTCAGAAACGCTATATGGGGCTGCTAGGAGTCAGAACCAAAAGACACTTAATAACAACAACAGGTTGGGTCCCTCGGACTGGAAGGGGCTTGTTTCGCATCCTGACTTCTGTCTGATTCTGTCCATTCATTTGAGATCTTTTGAAACGCCATCACCCCCTTGTATAGAGAGAAGTTGAATCCAGTGGGCAAGTTTGGAGAAAGTGTGTATTTCATATGATCCTTTAGCTTCAAACACTCACGATTATATATTCTAATTCATGCAAGGTTGTTGAATTGGGGTTGAAAGGAACCATGCCAGACAGGCACCAGGCAAAACACAGGGTTAAAGAATTTATGTTTCCCCCTCCTCCAAAAAACCCACTACCATGACTGCAATATTGGAAAGACTTCAATACATTTCCCCCCCATTGTCATCAAGTTGACTCTGACTGGTGGTCTCCAGGCCTTATTTCCAAGGTATCTCCGGTGAATTTGGTCCATCAACTTTTAGGTTAGCAGTTGAGTGCCTTTAGCCATTTACACCACCCAAGACTCCCATTACCAAGAGAGCCTGCTTACAGTAAGACCAGCTTGCACTGAGGACATCTGGTGGTACAGCTGGTTACTAATTGGGCTGCTAACTGAAAAGTAAATGGTTTGAACCTGTCAGCTGCTTTGACAGAGACATGAGGCAATTTGCTTCTCTGAAGATTTTATTGATGCTGCTTTTGTTGTTAAGTGCCGTAAAGTCGTTTCTGACCCACAGCGACCCTGTATAGGGTTTCCAAAGAGCAGCAGGTGAGTTTGAACTGCTGACCTTGGAGTTCAAACCAACTTTGCAGTCCAGCGCATTAACCCACAGCCACACCAGGACTCCATAAATTCCTGTATAACCCACTTGTTGTTGTTAAGTACCATCAAATCGGTTATGACTCATAGCAACCGTATATAGGGTTTCCGAGAAACGACTAGTGGACTTGAACCACCAACCTTGCAGTTGAAACTGATTTTGCAGTCCCGTGCATTAACTCACAATGCCACACCAAACCACTTACAGCCTCGGAAACCCTATGGGGCAGTTCTACTCTGCTCTATCTGGTGGCTATGAATCAGAATGGACTCTCCAGGGTAGTGAGTTTGGTTTTCTTCACTTGCATAGCACTAGAAAATGGAGTTTGAAGGTTTAAAGTCAGACATGGGTTGGAAACCCTGCATGGCAAACCTACGAGTGCAGAGAAAAAAAATCAAAACAAACTCACTGCCAATGAGTTGATTTGGCCTCATAGCAACCCTACACAGGGTTTCTGAGACTGCAAATCTTTATGAGAACAGAAAACCTCCATCTTTCTCCCTCAGAGTGACTGATGGGTTTAAACTGCCCACCATGAGGCTGGAAGTCCAAATTCCTTAGGTGAGTTACAAAGGTCTTTATCCGAAATGGAGCATCTATGACAAGAAAAAGGAGCGCTGGTAGCGTAGTGGTTACAAGTTGGGCTGCTAACCTCAAGGTCAGCAGTTCGAAACTACCAGTGGTTCTGCGGGCGAAACATGAGGCTTTCTGTTCCTGTAAAGATTTACAGCCTTGGAAACACTACGCAGGGTTGCTGTAGGTCAGAACTGACTCGACAGCACTTAACAACAGGTACCTAATGATCTTGCTCAAAATACCATCTTGAGTGCTCACCCTCTCCTGGTGGGAAAATTCTGTGGCTAATAGAACCCCAGTATCCAGAATATATGTCTGAGAAGCAACTCCCCTCCTCCCCACTCAGACTCCTGCCACCCACCTGGCATGCCGGATAGAAGCGATGGCATTGCTGAATTCACTGTCGATGCTGCGGCAATTGTAGAACTCCTCGTAGGCCGGCCTGGAAGAACCCTGGTACTCAATGCGGCTGATGCGGCAAATGCCCACTATCAGGATGATGAGCATCAGGATGAAGGCGACACAGAGGGCCCCAATGATGATATAGAGGGAGTGGCGGGGCATGTTGGTGAGGCTCTCCGCCATGTGCCCAGACTTCCACTGCAGATCTGGAGGCACAGGGAATGACCAAATATGTGTTAGGGGCTTTTCAACATGGAGGTCTATTCCCTCCTTATGATGACGACTCAAAATCTAAAGACCCCCACCCCAAGTGGGAAAAACTAATTTCTAAGGTTAAACCACACCAAGGGCAAATGCCCTTACTATGAGGGGGCTTCCACGTCTGCACCCAGACCTTCCAGTTCCTCAGTGCTTGAGTGAGACCCCCAACAATGGGTTCTGCCATTCCATCTGCCTGCCTGAGCCCACAAGACCCAAGGAGCTGCAAGACCATCTGAACTGGGGTGTGTTCACTGCTCCACCAAGACAGCTCACACACAGGCAGACAGAGCAATACCAACTGCAGCTCACATAGCACAGGAAGGAAGAAGAAGGGTATTCTGCAAGGCAACAGCTGGTACACACAGACACAGACAAGCCGTTTTCATGGCTGACAAATGCAGCGAGACTCCCTTCGTTTCTGAACACTGCACCAATCGCTGAGAAGTCCAGTTGTAGGCTAGAGCCCAGTGGTCAGCTGAGAATGTGGCAGTACAATGCTTAAGTGCTCAGCTGCTAAAACCAAAAGGTCAGTAGTTCAAACCCATCAGCCACTTCAAGAGAGAAAGATGTTGCAGTCTGCTTTCATAAAGACAGTGGTTGTTAAGCACTATGGAGTCAGTTCCAAATCACAGCATAGGGTTTCCGAGGCTTTAAATCTTTGTGGGAACAAAATGTCTCATCTTTCTCCTGAGGAGTGGCTGGTGGGCTTGAACCACCGACCTTGCATTTGAGTACTACAGTGTTTATTCTATAGTGTCACCATGCTCCATAAATCATAAAGATGACACCCTTGGAAACCCTATGGGGCAATTCTAGTCTATTCTGTAGGGTCCCTATGAGTCCCAACTCGAAGGCAATGGGTTGGGTTGGGTTTCCTCATCAACAAGAGGGCAGCCAGTAAGCACATTTCTACTCTGACTCGCTAGACTGCTCTGAGTGCTGTGGTAGGCTCACATAAGTTCCTGATGAATTTTTAAGGACCAGTGTCTGAAGACAGCATCATGTTTGGTAAATAGGCGGGCCAATGAAAAAGAGGAAGACCTCCAGTGAGATGGGTAGACACTGCAAAAGCAAAATGGGCTCAGATACAGCAACAATTGTGAGGATGACACAGGACCAGGCAGGTTTTCATTCTGTTGTGCATAAGGTCGCCATGAGTCGGAACCGATTTGACGGCACCTAACAACAACATCATATAGATGCTGAATACACTGTGCATACACGGGACCATCACTGTGCAGAAACAGTGGGGTGGAGCTACCTGCTCTACTGGGTCCCAACTTCTTGACAAGTTGCCAAGACTGCACGCCTTTCTGATCACCAGTTCCATTTCCTAAAACTCTGTGTTCCAAGCTGCTTAGACTTTTGGGGGAAATTTTCTCAACATCTCTTCGAAACCCACTGCTTTCTCTGCTCTCCCTACCCTGGATCCCGTCTCTGTCATCTAACGCCTTCTGACACCACTGAAGGGGGCTGTTCTGGAAGCAGTGTTTGCTCTGCAGCTGGGCTGGGAGGTACCAGGTGGCTATAGCTTCCATCTCTCAGCCAGGCACCATCCTAGCCAGTCATCGCTTTGCTGGGAGCCCTGTGGGAGTTCCATGACATGAATCATGTACTAAGACACAAGAGCCACTTAGGGCAAAGGCCAATCTGATGGCTTGTAAAGTCATTTGCAGTTTGGTTTCAACTCCACTTGTCTGCTGTCTTTGATTTTCCAAAGTGCTTCAGTAAGATAACATTTTGGTGGACCAGTTGAGCTCTGGTAGCGTAGTGGTTACGAATCGGGCTGTGAACCTTAAGGTCAGCGGTTCGAAACTACCAGCTGCTCCGCGGGAGAAAGATGAGGTTTTCTACTCCCGTAAAGATTTACACCCTCAGAAACCCTGTACAGGGTCGCTATGGGTCAAAACTGACTCAATGACACTTAACAACAACAACAACAACAACAACAGTTGACTCAAAATATTTGTGAGTGAATAAAATGGTGATTATTAGGGCTACGGATCTTAAGGCCAGCAGTTCGAGACTACCAGCCGTTCTGCGGGAGAAAGATGAGGCTTTCTACTCCCGTCAGGATTTATAGCCTTCGAAATCCTGTACAGGGTCGCTATGGGTCAGAACCGACTCGACAGCACTTAACAACAACAACAAACTATCAGCTGGATCCCTGAGGTGGTGGTGTAACATAAAGCACTGGACCAACCGCAAGGTCGGTTTGAACCACAACGTCAGTGGTTCAAACTCACCAGCTGCTCCTTGGAAACCTTATACAGGGTCACTCTTATATGAGTCGGAACCAACTTGATGGCATGTAACAAAAGCAACAACAACAAAACTATCACCTGGAGTTAGGTGATGCTCAAGGTAAGGCGGGGAGTCAGCAGTCAAGTGGAGACTGAAACGCAGTCTGCCAACAATCTCTGCTCGGTTACAAGTAGACTTCATCTGAGTTCCCAAACATATTGTGAAATGCACTACCTTGTCTTCTGTGTAATGCACTTGGAAGAAAGGAGTGAGCCTTGTTCATGTGTCCACCTGTGTTACTGAGAAAATGGGCAAAGTGACTGAAATTGTGTCATACAGGGATGGAAGTAACATAAACCAAACCCACTGTCTTCGAGTTAATTCTGACTCCTAAAAACCCTATAGGATAGAGTAGAATTGCCCTAGGCTGGAATCTTTGGGAAGCAGAGTACCACATGTTTTCTCCATGGAGCAGCTGGTGGGCTTGAACCACTGACATCCTGGTTAGAGCTGCTGAACACTTAATCAATGCACCACCAGAGCTTCTTTTCATTGATGCAAAATGGAAACTATCACATTCTCAGCTGAACACTGGGCCCCATTAAACCAGAGAATGCTGTAGTGCTCAGAAACCAAGGAAGTTTTGCTTGCTTTTTTTTTTTTCAGCCAGGAAAACTTCTCCATGCATACTGGCCGTTGCCAAGAGAATGGCTGCCAGCTGAGCCCTGGGTCTTGCTTCACAAAACACCTTTTCCCTTATGTGCTGTCATAGTTTGTATTGTTCTGTCTGCCTGCATGTGAGCTGGCTTGAGGAGAGAGGTAAACACAGTCCTGTTCAGTTGGTCTTGGCAGCGCTTTGGGTCTGGCAGAGACTGCTTCCAGCGTCTCTGTAATCTGGAGAAGAGGGATGAGTGGGAAAAAGACAATGGAATGCACAGACCATCTCCTTTATAGGAACCCATTCCTTCAGCAAATTTTAACTAAGCACCTACTCGATGCCAGGTGCACTGCGCATCTGTCATACTCTGGTGGTTTGCATGTGGTGATGCTGGAAGCTGTGCCTTCAGTATTTCAAATATCATCAGAGTTATCCATGGTGGACAGGTTTCTATGGAGTTCCCAAACAGACTAGGAATAAGGGCTTGGAGAACTACTTCTGAAAGTTAGCCAAGGAAAACCTATGGCTCCCAACAGAATACTGTGTGATTCTCTTGCTTTGGGCCCATCTTCAGGAGGGATCTACCACCAGTGGATGTCATTGTGTTTGATGAAGACAAGGCTCAGGGAGGGCAAGAGAGACACTCAGTGAGATAGATTACCACAGAGGCTACAACAATGGACTTGAACATGAGGTCGACAATGATGCCACATTTCATTCAGGTCTTCTTAAGTTAAGAGTCAATTCCACAGGATGCCCAAGCAGTGATGTCAAATAGACAGTCGTATTTACATGTTTAATCCATTGTTCTCAGTGATGTTGGTGGTGGTGGTAGGTGCCAATGAGCCAGTACCGACTCATAGCAACCCTATGTACAACAGAACAAAAC